TAACCTACACGTGATTGCAATGGAAAGTCGTTGACACGGAACAATATCTAAATATTTTTTTGTTAAACCTCAATTTTTTTAAGCCACATTTATAAGGTAACGTTACGGAATTGATCAGATAAAAATATCAATTTCGTAAGAAAACGTGATTTCAAGGGCGGCACATTTTCTCCAGAGGTTAGATAGGTTACCTACAATAAGATTTTATGTGATTGATATAAAGTAAAGCACACATCGTGTACCGCGGACGTGGTTTGAAATTCAAACTTTGTCGTGACTGTAAACTTTCGGGGCAATACTTGGTACACTTCGCTTTGTTTATATGTCGTAATGTTACATAAATATGTGATGAAGGCTATGAAGATTTCCCCCAGTTCTCAATTCCCGAAAGAGCATAAAGTATAAAAATACAGTTGTATTATTATCGATTATGAATTGCTTAAAATTGCATCGGTATGACCTGTGTGACGGCGGTCAGCCGGTCACATGCGGCCCACGAGCACGGAGACCGCAAGCCCTGACATCATTACGTGCATTACGTGAAGTTATCCCAACGCCCGCCACAAATTACTCACTCACGCACTCATCTCGTTCAATCTACATCAATTTTAATACGCCTCAGGTGACAATTAGGCTAAAGTAATTAATTACATTTGCATAGCTCCACGGCTATCTCCCGCCAGCTGAAATGTACTAACAAAAGATTTTTTATTTGTCTACCAAGCCTTGTATTCTTAGAACTAGGTCTGCATCGCGAATTTCCCATTGTGTTCTGATCTGAATTGTAATTCTGTATATGTGGACTTCCTCAAGAAACGCAATTAATTTCGAACTACTTACACAAAGGTCTACAAAGCCATTTTGAGACTTTACCTACAAGCTAGATCGACATACGATTTGGTAGTAATACCGAGAAACTGAAATCGAATAAGATTATTTTCGTAATATTATAATAAGCTCAGTGTTCTGGCCGACAGCCTTAACAAACGCTTAACAAATTGAATTAGTGCCCTTGTTGAACAGACCTAAATGACTGGACCTGCAGCTTGGAACATTTATCGCCGCCATTAACATAAAGCTGAACTTAGACAAGGAATAAAAATAATATCTTAATTCTAATGTTTTGAGAAACAAAGACGCATTATTAAAATAAATTCAAACTATTAAAATGGACACAAATCGTTTAGCTGGCAACATAAATGGCACATAAACTATTGAGGTTTGAATACATTAACATAAAAGATTTAATTGCATTTATTTGTTTATAATGAATATTACATTGCACTTCATTAAAAATATTACTGAACGGCACTTTTCTGTTCTCCAAGTCAAAAGCCTAAAATTTGATTTCAGTAACTTTATGTATGTAAGTAATAATCCCTCGGACCCTAATCGGTGGCAATGAATGGAAACTCGATCGCATAAAATGGCATTCTTCGACCATGCTGTCACCGCTTCTTGTTAAACTTGGTCCGTAACATTGCCATAATTTATAATGACCTTTATTCACACCGACCACTGCAATATTGTGCCAAGATGAAATGCGTATAATGTGTGGGTTTAAGGCTCATTACGAATATATTATTACAACTTAAACAATAAACTTAAAAACAAAATAAAGCTTTTTATATGTCTATACTAATATTACAAAGAGGTAAAATTTGTAAGTTTGTATGTTTGTAAGTTTCTGAGTTTGTATGTAAGGGGTAATCTTTAGAATTGCTGGTCGGATTGCCAAAATTATTTTACTGATAGTAGAGTAAATCGTTTTTATTCGGAAAATATTTTGTTCGTTTTCTTTGCCCTATGATGCCAGTTAAGAAATACACTTGCCTTGTTTTGAAACGTGTCCCTTAGCGATTGTTGCACCAATCCGCTATGTACCTGGCTGGAGACAACACCGCCACGGAGACAGCTCGAGCTAGACTAGGGGCCCGCCCACTGGGCCAAGCCTTCGCACGACTCTGCTCAGACAGATTCAAATTGTCGCATTGTTTGTTTACGTTCAAACTTTATCATTCATATATTCCTATTTATAATAGATTTTGTATTTTGCTAACGGAATATTCAATAAACTCGTGCTACGGTAACAGTCATCTATGGATATTCGCTATGTGAGTGTATTGTATTGAAAACAGACATCACACAGATAATATCACGTTTCGTATCTTTGAACCGAATCAACAATAACAGACATTATGCCTAAAGACGAAGGCAGTCAATCAGAGACAATCACTGCTCTAAATGTCGGTCAATGCTTTTCATACTGTACTTATGTTTGTGCCGGTCATAAAGTCAAGTAAACGTTGCGCAGTCCACCGACACCTGACCAGAACGGGGGCGACTTATCATCGACAACTAGAATTATATAAATATTGTATCAACTTGTCCAAGGTATAATGAGAGGGCAGGGAACAAGCACCGCGCAATTAGATTCGGTGTACAGCGGCAATAACTTTGAATATTATCTCGTTCATAAAGGATATAGTAGCCCGACTAGCCCGAGCACTACGCAGCGCAATAACTCCAGATCAGATAGAGTCGCGCACAATGCTAGATAACGATCTTTGTAAACGAAACTAACTGTTCCGCTACAATGCTAATTGTGCCCACGTCAAGCTCTGTCATAACTTACGACTTATAACATAACTCTCTCTCTCTCGTCCACAGATCGTTGTTGCTTGCTTGGCGTTGGCGTGTGGCGCGCATGCGTCTGGATGGACTGGTCCTCCCGCCAACATTGCTCTGTCACAAGACGGACGCAACATCCTCGACACCCCTGAAGTAGCGCAAGCGCGTGCTGCCCACCTCGCCGCGCTGTCGCAAGCTAACCAGAACAACCCCAACCCCCAGGACGATGGCTCCTACGACCCTCGCTGGGACAACGAAGAGTACTGGCAAGGAGCTGAACAGAACAAGTGGAACGCTGCCCCCGCTGGACAATGGAACGGTGCTCAGGCTCACGGACAGTGGAACGCTGCCCCCGCTCACCAGTGGAACGCTGCCCCCGCCGCCCCCGCCTGGAACGCCGCTGGACCCGCGCCCGCTCCCGTCGCTGAAACCCCTGAAGTAGCCCAGGCTCGTGCTGCCCACCTCGCCGCCCTCAACGCTGCCAAGGCTGTTCCTGCTCAGCCTCAGTGGAACGCTCCCGCCCACAACCAGTGGAACGCCGCCCCCGCCCACAACCAGTGGAACGCTGCCCCCGCTCACAACCAGTGGAACGCTCCCTCCCAGTGGAACGGTGCCCCCTCATGGCAGTCTGGCCAGGCCCAGCACCAGCCCGCTAACATCAGGCTAGCCAACGACGGCTCCGGCATCCTGGACACCCCCGAGGTCGCCGCCGCCCGCGCCGCCCACCTCGCAGCGCACGCGCAGGTAGCGCACGCCGCGCCCGCGCACCCCCAGCAGCACTGGTGAACTGATTGACTCCCTTCTTCTGGATTCCTGGACTATGAGCTGGCTCGTGACGCGTGCCCAGTGACCGCGCGTCGTGTGCTAGTTTTCTGTTGAGGTGTCTCTCTCGTTTTTCCTCCGATCTCTTCTTCTTTTAGGAATTATACAAAGTGCAAGTGCGTCAGCCTATTCTTTCCTGTGGCTTTTTTGTTACTTTTATAAGAAATTTCTATTGAACGAACTTTTTGTACATAATAAATAATTTGTATGTATGCGTTAATAACGAATTATATAGAACGGAATATACCATGAAGTTTAATTCATTTTAATCGATAGCTGTTGTATCTAAGTAACACTCGCCGACAAGGCTAGCAGGTAACATAGCGATCTGATAAATGATTATAATAACCCACACTGCAGAATTTCAAATATCGTCAAGCAATGTTTACACCAGGCAAGCTAATGCTGATAACTCCTGTAACCCACAATTCAATGTCAAGATCACATATATACTTAATTTCTTACACTTGGTTCAAGATATCGAGGTAAAGAAAATATTCACGGAGATAACCTAAATTATTGATACACATATTATGAATGTCCATATAAAAAGCAGATCATTGCAGCCATCACTTACATATATTATGTACGTCCACTAATCACACTAGCTGTTGTGGGCTGCAGGCTCCCAACAAGTGCAAGGTCAACTCGATGTTGGTACAATATCATCATACAACCTTTACGTAATCTCATAGGTACTACTGTTAATATTAATGAGAACTCGGAATCTAATCCGTATGTCCTAATTAGGAATACAACAACACAGAGATGAAAAAACTAACTTCAGAAGCCAATCAAACAAAATTAATTTGAATCGGGCAAACGTTTTCGTACTCAACAACCACCAACAATAAAATTTTATGACCAACTCATGCATGTAGTCTAGTTATTAAAATGGAAAAACGAAACTAAAGTGAGCTGTCTCGTAACTATAACGTGACACGCTATGACGAAACCATATAGATCTCTAAATAGATAATGCAACGGTTGAAGTAATTCTCTATGTTTAAATTATAAAAACGCAATAGTAATTAACAGAGCAAAATAGCAATTAATAATGTCAAACTAACGACCACAGCTGACATCATTTATTTAAAACATCACCATAATGAAAAACATAAAGCTATTGTTAATCCAACGTTGTATAAAGGAGTCAGAAAATTTCAATTTAATCAAACAAAAACCTGCTTATCATTTACGATATCTAAGTTCTCGGTACAAGTCTAATTTGAAATAAATTACATAGTAGAGTAACAAAGTTTAGTTCGGTAACTAACGATAAAACTAAGACTGATAATTACGAACGTAAGACAGGACGACGAATAACTGGAAAATGTATAATTTTGCCATCGAAAGCTAGCGATAGGGGCGGTGCAAGGTCGATCTATCAAATGATAGACGCAATCAAACGATTAGACCGCAAACATTTGCTTTGGAAAATTAGGTTACAAGCACCAATTGGATGTCCACCAAAGCGGTTTCATTATCTTTTCACGTGCCGCAGTGGTACTTTGTTAACAGCAAAGCAGGAGGAGGTCCTGCAAAAAATGCTGGTTTATCCTAGCAGGGAGTTCGGAATGCGTCCTCGAAAATCACCAAAGGACATATTTAGAAAGGTAAGCAATTTAGACATTGCAATAATATATTTATTATGTATTTCTAATTGTTCAAATGATAAAATCTCTAAAAGAGGAAGTTACATAACTGCATATCGTAATAAACACAATTCATCTGACAGCAGAACTATTGGGCTCAAGGTAAAGAACCAACGCCTTGGTATGTGTGGGATTCAAAATTACCTGTAAACAGGAGCAAGAGCGAAGTGAGTCATCATTTTATACAATACCTATCTTAGAATTATAGGTACACGTTTAGTTTTATAAAAATTATGCAAATTATTAGGAAAGGCCAGCAGCTGTAAAGACTGCACAAAGAGAAGAGGATGGGCCCAGCGGTTTCAGTAACGACCTAAGAGATTATCTAATGACTTCCACGCTTCATGGACTTCGATACATTGGAGAACGAAAACTGACTTGGTTTGAAAGGTACGAAGGCGACATTTTAATGTCATGTAATAATGCTCTCCGTGATTATACGAAATCGTACATCTTTCATCTTCTTGTTTTTCTCGTTAACATTAATTGTCATCTCATGTGCATCATTATTTCCCAACTCATCACCAATTGCTATCTACTATTCGATATTTTACCAAAGTAGGTATAGGCGAATTAATAGGGATTCAAGTTGATTCCTAACACTTTCAGATTTTTCTGGCTGACAGCTTTTGGGTGCTCTTTAGTAAGTGCAGGATTTTTCATATTAAACATATACGCAAAGTGGCGCTCGTCCCCAATGATTGTCAGCATCAACCCTGAGAATATGCCCCTCAGCAGCCTGCCGTTCCCCGCCCTCACTGTCTGTAACGTCAACCAAGCCAAGAAGACCGTAGCTGAGAGATATTGGGCGTACGGGTAACTGTTTCTCTACGCAGCACCATCATGCTTGCTAGACTTTTCTTATTATTTCCATTTTACGTTTTACTACTGTCGTGTTTAACGAGACTGTCACTAAAACAAAAGCCCCAAAAAAATATTATTTTAGTATGAAGTAAACACTAGTTTAAACAAAGCTTTACAGTATCGACCTCACCACAGTGTAGTTTGGTTGGTCTTAACCATTTAACATGTTATGAAGGTATCTATATATATATATAATAAGAACTGGTGTTTACTCTGTGTCGTATTAAGACTGGAAAAGTTATTTGAATAATTGGCTTATTTGCTATTTAACCCATTCATCCACAACACTGGTGCCTTGTTTATTAAAATACCTAAATTGTAACATTGCTTCAGTGAGAAAACAAGCGATCTGATTTTTTAAACCAAATTGTGTACTTTGTTTACCCCGTATTCCATAAATAATCAATTGGATTTAACGTTTACCCTACAAAAACTTCAAATTATAAATACATTGCAGGAACCCGGTTGACAGGAAGCTCCTTCAGAGTTTGTGCTCCACGAAGGACGATTCGGAAATATTCGAAGATGGAATAGCGGGCAGAGCTGACTGGGACCATACCAGATCATTCCTAATTAATGTGGGTTTCTAGTAAATAAAAATTGTGCATGTGTGGCAACGTGATATCAATTTCAACCAGAAATAACCTTAATCTCTCAAGATAAAGCTTGAGTCAATGCACATTCCTAAAGTTAGAATATATCCTAGTGTTAAAATAAAGCACTTGAATTGTTGGAAAAATATTAGTACCTAATTATTTGTTAGTTACCCAATATGTCCGGTATAATATCACTAGCTTCAGCGAGCATCTTCGCTCGAGTTACCGGTGAAATGTAACCTGTCTTATTCCAGTATATATCTACGACCATATTTTGTGTGCCAATATCCATTATAGTGCAATCTGTAGTTTTATACCTGAACGAGTAACAACCATCCAATCATCCTTATACTTTTTAGGATTTCTGACGTACCACGACCGCGACCCTTTCTCTAGGAGAAGCCTTCAAGCTTGGATCGGAACGTGTATTGAATTGAGATTTTATACGGGAGTTGGTCATCCCATCGACTGTGCTTACCGTTCAGTTTCTTTTTTCCTATCATATCATGCCAAGACCGTGCATTGACCATGTCACATGGAAGAGTCGTCCTTGTAACTGCCACATAATTTTTTGTCCCTATCGTTGTAGGTAACCCAACCATGTAGTGAAATGCTAGCGCAGTGTATCTGGGACTCTTCAGTAATGAACTGTGAGGACTTATTTAATGCTCAGCTGACAGACGAGGGGCTCTGCTGCACTTTCAATGTGGTACACCGAAACAAAATGTTCAGGAACCCGTAAGAAAATTCAATCACTATTTTCTGCTCACTCATTACCGTTTTTTTATCTAAGTTAGCATTTTACATTGAGTAGACGTGTGGGTACTTAAATAAAGTACTAGGCGTGATACTTTAATTCAAATTGAAAAATAATTTTCTTATCCACAGTCGTTCTCTCAACGACCTGAACATAACATTTCCATCGCCAGCAGTAGACTGGACACCTGAAGATGGATACCCCGTTGATGCTCCCCCTGATGGCTTTCCTTGGAGACCTAAAGGTTAATTAAAATAAATATCGTATTACTGCCATTCTAAAGCTCACAAACTTATATCTATACCTAATTGCCTTTTCGCTTCAAGGAATTGGCACCCATCATGGTCTCACCCTGGTACTGGACGCTAATATTGCCGAATACTATTGCGCTTCTACGAAAAGTGCTGGCTTCAAGGTTTGGTCTTGTTGAACACAAAGAACATGTCATCTATCAAAATAAAATTCTTACAAGTCCATATTTTTAGATACTTCTTCATAACCCCACTGAAACACCTAAGATAAGAAATCTAGGAGCTATATACGGTCCCGGTAGAGAAGCAAGAATTGCGATTTGGCCGAGGATATCAGATGCACAACCTTCTCTGCGATCCATTGATATTAAGAAAAGGCTTTGTTTGTTCTCCAGTGAAAAGGAATTGGTATTTTTCAGGTAAGTTGGTATTCCTATGCTTAGTAATTTTCTGTTCTGTTTCTCTTTTCAAACCTAGTTTAGTTATCTACGCTTTTCAACTATGTAGATAAGTGGTTAAGCAGGTAGGTAAGCAGCCTTCCTTCTTAAGAAATAGCTAGAGAATCAACACGGTGTCCTCGCTGCCCTCTTTGCAGCAGACGCAGGTTGCAGAAATTTCGGGAGATAACTGCTTCGGATTCAGCAGACGGAAAACCTCTGGTGTCGTCACTGCGACGGCCACCTACTTGAACTGAGGACAGCCGTGTCCTCGGATCAGGGGAACATGTGGAGGCGACCTCTCGCGCTCGAACTTGGTCCAGGCCAAGTTACAGACAAAGCCGAACCACCTCTTCCTTCTACGGAGCAGTCATGCTCGCAAAAAAGGAGGCGGAGTGTGTGAGAGAACGATCCTTCTCACGCCCCAGCCACCGCAGGAGACGCTCCAGTCACCGGGGATCACGCAATATCTCCGTAAGCGGGGGTCTGCGAACTGGTACTGGTACTGGCTCGGTAGCTCGCTGCCCCACCACAACCAGACCTGAAAGAGAGTCCAGTGGAGGGTGCAAGCACAATCACATACCGCAGCCCGTCTTGGAAGAGAGGATAAAAAACCGCCCCGTTCCTTATTATAAGGTGACACTTCCACCTAGGGCGGGAGTATCAATTTGATAATTAATTGGACCTTAAAAAAAAGTAAGTAGTCTAATATAAGTATCTACTTACCAGATCATAATTATGGTTTGCTAACCGATAAACCATGCATTCTTTATTGTATAACAATTCACATGATGTAACTGTCATTAAAAAATTCATGCACAAGTGCAGATTTATATCGATTACGACAATATGTTCGATATTTCCACAGAACTTACACTTTGAAGAACTGCGAAATGGAGTGTGAAGCGCAAGCTATGTTGGAAGTATGCAAATGTGTCTACTATTATATGCCCAGTGAGTATGATTTTTTTTTTTTTCTTTATTTATTTACTTATTTTGTCAATTTTGTCAATATAACTTAAAATGAATAAAGAAGTTATCTTTATTCATTTTAAGTACTTGAGCCGGGGCTGCGGGGCGAGCGCAACGAAGCACCGCGACCTCGACCCAGAGCAGGAGAAGGAACGGGGTGGGGGGAGGGTTTATGCCCGGTTCCTATAATTGAGAAACGATCCGTTTTAGTTACGAATAGTAGTTTTATATACGACTCGTAAGCTAAAACCGTTCCTATAACAAACGTCTCGTCGTGCAACTTACTGACGGTTTGCAACTAACGGATGTCGGTAAGCGAATTGTATGGAGATCTATGGTGTCTGTGGTGTTCCTATAAATATTTTAACCGTCAGTAGACGGTCAAGATAACTATTCGTAATGTCATTTGGTCGTAATGCGTATACAACGACGATTCGTTAAATATAGGAACCGGGCATTAGTCAGTAAGAGTCTGACACTCTCTTTCGCCCGCCCCTGGGCGGGAGAAATCATTTGATGATTGTGCCCTCACAAAAAAAAAATGTTGTTCCTAAATAAGCGACAGTGATTCTTAACCTTTCAATCGTGATAATTCGAGACCCAATAGAAGAACAATAGGCGCACGGACGCCAGCGTCCGCTTCATGTTTGATGAATATTAATTATAATAATCTTCGTAGGTACCTATAGTTTACCTTTAGCTCCTAAGAGCTAATAGGTACACCTAAGCATAGGTGCAAAAGTGCATTAGAAACTAAGTATAAAACGTCATCACATTTGATCGAAGACACCTAAAATGAGAGTAGAAACGATTTCCTTAAACAGCTGAAATGCTGTCAAGTTCTGTAATTGCCTAATTTACTTTTTAAACGTTTTCAGAAAACAAATCCACTCGTATTTGTGGGAAAGCAGATGCGAAATGTTATACAAATATGAGCCTTATCATGCCTGAAGGTTGGTAAAACTTTTGCAATTTTCTTTCGCTTTATTCATCAAATTGCATCTGATAATTCAGGCTCTCACTTAAGAAAGAGATTCGGATTTTAAGCACCTTTTAAACGGCACAAATGATCGTGCCCTATGTCCCTAAGTTCCAATGGATTGAGTGGTATGATAGCAGAAGCTGTTAGGCTGTTAGTGTCCCTAAATAGGGTGACCAAAGTGCCCGACCGCCCTAAATCTAAATTTCCGATAAATCGAGCCATGTGACCGCTCCTTGATAGGTAGGTAGAGCTAAACTCTTTACCTTGTAAGTATTAAGACATTATTTTCTAATAATCACAAATGCCAAATGGCCTAGAGCAAGCATGGTGCTTAGTTCTCTGTAAGAAAAAAGGCTACTACTCAGCAATGAGGCAGCTACAGGCGATGGACGATGATAATGTACATTTGAACCAGGTCGCGACGTCACATGCATGGAGTGTCTGCCAGCGTGCACGGAGATCGCCTATATGGAGAAACTGAGTGACGCACCGCTCACTGAGAATCTAGTAGAACAACTAGCCAGGACTCTTGGCAATAGGACTCCTGAATACTTCACGTAAGTACCTACTTACATTTTTTTTTTGGGGTACCGTACGTTCGTGTTTATAATTTAGTTCGTGTACAATTTTAATACTCGTCCTTACCTTTTTTATTTTGTTCTCTTCAGGGAAAATATGTTGGTTGTACATTTCTATTTTGAAGAAAACACCTTCATGAGATTCACAAAAGGTGAAATATTTGGACTCACTGAATTCTTGTGTAAGTCATCCAAAGGTTTTTTTATTACATAAATCTTTTTTACAGTATAATATATATTATACATAAGTATATTCCCTGTGTATCTATCTATATTCCATGTTAATAATAAACCAAAAACAGGGTACGTGTGTTATTTTATTACTAAGTTATTAATTCGTTTACAAACATAAAATTTCACAAGGAGTTGTGTTTTTCTTCTGATGGGTTGGATAATTTGGAGCATAGCGTCGGTCTTGGTCGTAATAGCGACTCCTAATCAAAGCACGCATTCATTTGTCATATATCTACGTCTCCATCCAACTCTAAATAATGACGAGTTTTTTATGGTACCTATAATTCGGCAAACGAGCAAACGGATTACCTGATGGTAAGCAATCGGCGCTGCCCATGGACACCCGCAACACCAATGGAGTTACGAGTGCGTTGCCGGCCTTTTGGGGATGGGGGTTGCGGATATAAGCATTGGGAAGAGATAGGGGAAGGGGAGGGATTGGGCCTCCGGTAACCTCACTCACACGGCGAAACACAACGCTATGGGTTGTTTCACGCTGGTATTCTGTGAGGCTGTGGTATCACTCCGGTCGAGCCGACCCATTCATGCCGAAGCTTGGCTCTCCTACACTTAAAGTTTCCTAGGAGTGTGCAGGTAATAATTAGAATATTTTCTGTTCCAGCAAACACAGGCGGCTTGCTGGGGCTGTGCATGGGGTTCAGCATGATGAGCGCAGTGGAGCTGCTGTACTACCTCACGCTGCGCGCGCTCTGCTTGATGCGTCGCCGTCCACATACACAGCCATTCGTTAAATAAACATGATATTATATAAGCCACTTTGTTTCTTTTTTATATTGTATTCATAGACTAAACGGTTCAAAAAACTGTTAGGTGTCGCTGCAATTACTACATTTATGGTCCTACTTATGAAAGCCATGCTTCGGCACGAATGGGCCGGCTGGACCGAAGTGATACTACGGCCTCACAACCAGTGCCAGCGTAAGGGCCACTGACACCCCTGGCAAAAATATTGTGACGCCCACTTTGGGAAGCAATATCAAGCGTTAGATTTTTGCTGAACATAAGTAAAATTAAAAATCTCAATAAAAAATATGCATATGCACAGAGCGTAGAGCACAATTCTGAGGGTTTGCACCAGGAGAGGCAAGAGACTCCTAACTTCAGACCTGGGCGCCCCCTAGAATTTTTCGCCCTGGGCCATCGCCCCATCGCCTAACGCCGGCACTGCTCACAACAACTAAAACAACGCTTGCGGTGTGTTTCGCCGTGTCAGTGAAGTTGCCAGAGACCTAATCGGTGCTGGTGTCCCATCACCAAACACCAAAACTTAAAATCCTCAAATACCTAATAACCCACAAAAAAGTGGCAACTAATTTGTAGCTGAAGAGGGACGCTGATTGATTTCCATCATTTTTGGGGTCTGCTAGTTTGCCTACCTAACTTTGCCTCTTAGAGATAAGCATGTGATCTGTAGGTCATATATTATTAAAAAGTATAAAAACCTAGCTAGTAGTAGTGATGTAACACAAAGAGCTAAAGATCGATTTGTGCCATGCTAAGTATAGAGGACTATATCTAGCAGACCTGTCTATATGAACTGAACTGCCAGATGATGATGATATTGATAACTATTATAATCAAAAAACGAATATGTTTTAACTAAAAAAGTTTTATTACACTTATCTAGAAGTTATACAATAGCTCAGTCTGTTCAAACTTTCAAATACAATCTCTATTCCCTATGAATTTATTTGTATGGAGCAGTGTCATGCTGCCAAGTGCTGCTTGTCTTGATAGTAAGCTAATAATTATTACCATTTCTATCTGTGATTATTATTACATCGCACGTATTAGTAGATGAAAATGTACGCAAGATACATAGGTACACTTTTATGCAGTTATAAAAGTTAGTGACCTACTGAGAATTTTCGAAAATTAAACAAATGTTGAACTGCCAAAACAACAAATATGAACCAAAGTATTACAATTCTTATTTGTCACCAAAATTATTACAGGGAATATTATACACTCCGAAAGGACCTGGCAGCTGACAGATGACTTACCTACTTGAAATGTGTATTAACCATAGATATCTTGAGCGACTTGGAAAATATACCATTCTAGTGTATAAGGTGTTACCCACATTTCTTTGGAGTTTTATGTGAAAGCAATTTAATTTGTTTATGGTAGAGCATGTACTATAGAAGTTGCTTCTAGCAGTATAGAAGTTTTACCATTTTCTATAAATTTTTCATAACCTATAAATATGTGTGATATGTCTATGTCTGTTGTCGGGGTGGTCCCTGCTGTGGCGGCGCGGGTGGTGCCGGCGGCGCTGGCGCATCCGGTGGCTGTAACGTGCGCGTCCGCCGCCGTGTGTAGTGTTGCCACAACAAAATTGCTTGATCATCCATAAACTTACACACCTGAAAACAGTTAAAATACACTAATTGTAGTAAAACTGCTAGTTGTTTTGGTTAAGCTGACACAATGCATAGTTTGATTCCCATACGGAACAAAACTTTCTGTGATCCACACTCTACATTGTTCTAGGTTTGGGTCAGTTGAGTGTATAAAATTGTATGTTTGTAAACACACACCCATGATGCAGGAAAATAAGAAAATGTTTAGATGCCCATAATAAATTCATTAACAAAATTAAACACCCTGATGGTATGCACTAAGTTATATGGACGGTCTCAATTTCTATGTGGAATATAAAAATATCATACCTGTGCAGAGACACATTCCCTTCTAAATGCTTCATGTTGCAGTAGCTCTAAGAAATGGAGGCACATTGGGTACTTCAGATAGCGAGCATATTCAGGTTCCCGCCAGTACTGCAAGTAGCGGAGGTAGTTTATAAATGTAGCTTCTTTTAGATAACCACGCTGTGCCAAAACTGAAATATATTTTAGTCACATACAATAAAATTGATACTCAGAAAAACGGAGGCGAACTACTTTAAGAAATAAGTTATGAACACTCACAATGTATATAATTAGGGTTGGCCAAACACTGCACAAACTCTAGTTCAACCTGAAACCTTATCCGGTTTTGCTCTTCTGTTTCGGGCATTGCTGAAATAGTGCTATGGTTAATTTATTTATCAAACTAATAATATTAAAGGAATAGTAAGGAATGAGAAAGTTACAAGTAAAATGATCATAAAATACCTTTTCCAGCCATCATCTTGAAAGTTTTAGTGTATTAAGCGTACTTCCATCAAAATTTAAGTATCTCACTATGATACTCTTTGTTACCTAGTCATTTATGTTTGTTCATGAGCTAGGTACACGCAAAGCGAAAAATATTCTTCACATCATTTCTTACAATTTGTCGATGTCAAACAAACTCCAAGAAGTCCGAGACAACTTTGTCAATTTTGACATTAATATCCATAGTGAATCAATGTTTACTTTTTTTCTCTAATGTACTGTTTAACATTGAAGCTCTCTACTAAAGAGGCCTTACCGTTTTTTATTTCAAATACAATTAAAAATACATTTATTCTTTCAAAAAGATACCAAACTAATTGCAGTTTTTCAAAACTAAGCTAACTATTAACGAATTAAGTTCTATAATCAAACAAATCAAAGTATCCGCCCACCTTTTATAATCATATCATAACCCATAAACCCGCCCCTTCTAGAAAGTCTGTCATGTCAATATTATCATACTTTATGGTACGTCACGTCAGCTCGATTATGTCGTATTGTCATTATCTCAGCTAATGTTATTCTAATTATTTAAATAATATAAATACCTCCACAGTTAAAAATTTATATTAATTTGGGTCGAGCGCATGTTTGTATGTCAAAAAAGTCAAAGTCAAAAATCATTTATTTCAATTAGACCACAGTAGGCACTTTTGAACGTCAAGCAAGCAAAAAGGAAAAAAAGTATATAACAAGAGCTTTAAAATTAAGCGTGTCAGTCTGTCCGTCTGTCCTCTAGTGAAGCTATTTGCTCGTTCCAAAGTGTAGATTCCTATGGAGAAGAACGAGCAAGAAACTCCATGGTTACTCTTTTTCAATCAGTTATACAATACATTTCTTTGTTACATCATTTAGTCGGTTCTGATATGTGAGAACAATGTAACACTAATGTTCAGGCAAAAAGTACGAAAAAGAAGTGAACCTCAAGGACAACATAATTAGACAGCCTGGAGCTGACCAGTCCCCAATAGGCGGCGCCCGTTCACGAACATGACACGTACACCAGCACCGCCCAACTCAACCATATTATAGGGAATTGGGCGATCCAGTGCCCGTGCCACCGCCAATGAGACCTCTGAGTGAGCATGACAGCTCCCAGCCGACACAAGTACCTATATTCTACAAGTCTTACTTAATTATAATAGGTTACAGGGCACTCACATTTACAAAAACTTAGAAGATCATCAACAATTAACAACATAGTGTACAAATTAATAATTAAAATCAAAAATTCCTCTAAACATCCTGTGGAGTAGGACCAGCTAGCCTCCAAGCATTTTTATCTTGTATATAATCATTTACTTTGTAGTATGCTAGTTTACATAAATGTTTCTTTATACATAATTTGAATTTGCTTTCATTTAGATTTTGAATTTCAACTGGGATTTTATTATAACATTTAACACAGAAACCCAGGAATGATTTATGCACTTTTGCCAATCTAAATAAAGGCTGACTCAATCTATTCCTATGTCTAGTATGATAATCATGTTTGTCAGATACCTTTACAAATAAGTGTAGGTTTTTCCTAACATACATAATGTTTTCATAAATAAATTGACTCGGTACGGTCAGAATGTTGATCTCCTTAAACTTTTCTCTGAGAGATTCGCGACGACCTAAGTTATATATAGCTCTGACGGCACGCTTTTGCAAGATAAAGATAGACTCAACGTCAGATGCCTGTCCCCACAACAGAATTCCATACGACATGATGCTATGAAAGTAGCTAAAGTACACTAGTCTTGCCGTGCCTACATCGGTTAGCTGACGGATCTTCCAGACAGCATAAGCTGCAGAGCTCAATCGTCCTGCTAGAGACCTGATGTGGGGCCCCCATTGCAACTTCTCATCTACAGTGATCCCCAGGAAAGTAGTCTCTTTTACAAATTCTAGTTTCTGATCATTTAATAATATATCATCACATACATTACTTTTAACATTTGGTAAAATAAATCTAATGCATTTAGTCTTTTTATCATTTAGTAATAGGTTGTTTATTGTAAACCAATTTTGAACCTTCATTAAGGCATTATTAACTTCGTCATATTTGTTTGTTCGTCTATTTATTTTAAAAATCAATGAAGTGTCATCAGCGAATAATACCATATGCGGTTCATTTTGGAACATATGGGGCAGGTCATTTACATAAACTAAAAATAGAAAAGGACCTAATATTGAGCCCTGCGGTACGCCCATAGATACGCTAGCACCCAGTGAGTTAACTTTGTTGACTTGTACTTTAATTTTTCTTTCTTGAAGGTATGATTTCAATAAATCTAGGGATACCCCCCGAATGCCGTAGTGTTCTAGCTTCAGTAACAGCGTCTCGTGCTCAACACAGTCGAATGCCTTTGAAAGGTCACAAAATATTCCGATGGCATCCTGTGCTTTTTCCCACGAGTTGAAAACTTGTTTTATAAGTGATACTCCTGCGTCCGTAGTGCAACGTCCTTTGGTGAACCCGTATTGATGGTCATGGAAAATACAATTCGTGTTAAAGTGACGCAGCATTTGAGTAAGCATCAACCTTTCGAACACTTTACTGAGCACTGGCAAAATAGAGACCGGCCTATAGTTATTAGGTTCTGTACTATCACCTGATTTAAATAATGGAACTACTTTACTATGTTTCATTAAATCCGGGAAAACCCCTTGATCTACACTTTTATTAAAAATGAACGTTAAGTTCGGCGCAATTGTCTCTATAAACGACCTGCACACTCGAACAGACATTCCCCAAAGATCTTCAGTTGACTTCACTTTGATCTCATTGAACGCCTTTATTACTGCCTGGGGGGTTGTGTATTGAAAGCTAAAGTCAGAAGGACATTCTTTGACGTTACCCCTGAGAAGCTCGACAGAAAGTGCTGGAGATGATTTTAACGTTTCCGTAGTTTTAAGAGGAATATTTTTAAAGAATCTTTCGAATTCCTGGGCAACTGACGAATTTGAACTAGTATATCCCTTTTCGGTTTTTAAATTAAATTCAGTGTTTTGTGATTTATTTCTACCTGTTTCTTTATTAATTATATTCCAGGTAGCTTTTATTTTGTTTTCCGCGGTCCTGATTTTATTACTAATGTGGAGCGACTTAGCATGCTTACATACTATTTTAAATATTTTTGAATATTTGGAAACATGTCTGCGAAAAGCCTCGCTACTATTAAATGGTTTCAGGCCGTATAGCTCAAATAACCTGTCTCTACTTATACGAATACCTGGTGTAGCCCAGTCACAGAATACAAATTTACACTGAATATTTTTACGTTTTAAAGGAAATAGTTTATCGAATTGTATTTTTATAAGGGATAATAAATTGGCATATATCTCACTCGGGCAATTATTGTCTTGTACTTGGCTGCATAATTTATGTTTTAGCTTATTATTTAATGAATCAATTTTTTTGTATGTGATTTGTCTAAACAATATTTCCTTTTTTGGCACAGTTGTTATAGTATTAAAGTTAACTGTGAGCCCACTGTGATCAGATGGTAATCTATTTACAATTTCACTTTGTAAATAATCACAGTTACAGAAAATATTATCTATACAAGTTGCCGAGGTGGATGTTACTCGGGTGGGCTCAAGGAAAACATTAGACAAATCAAATGATTGAAATAGACTTAACAAGTTTGTACAATGAGAATTGTTTTCTAAGAGATCAACATTAAAATCGCCACATACTATTGTACATTTACTACTAGTACATGTTTTCCGCAGTACATCTTCCATTACAGAGTGAAAAATATTTAGATTCTGTATGTTAGGAGGCCTATAAACACATACTACAATATGCCTATCCAGCTCAACACAGGACAACTCTATTGTGTGTTCAATTGACAGCAGAGCAATGTCTTGTCTTTCTTTATATTTAATTGAGTTCTTTACTAAAATCAGGCTACCACCATGTATCATTGCTTGGCGGCTATAATTGCTGCCAACACAATAGTTATTGAAGTTAATTGTTTCTACTTGATAATCTTTTAACCAATGTTCAGTTAAACAAATAATATCATATTGGAATTTCTCTAAAAACAATTCAATTTCTAGGAATTTTGATGATAAGCCCTGAATATTTTGACTGTATAATGACAACAAGTTATCTAATTTAGTTTTATGTTTTAATTTAAATTGATGCTTAATAATATTGCCAGAAGAAACCTTTTCAATGAATGTGGTTTTTGAGTAATTTAATTGGTTATCTTCTGTTGTCGTAGAAGTCAGTTTAAAAGAATACTATCCGGAGTACTATCCACATTTGTCAATAAATCTGGAGCCTCCTTCGTACTATTGTATGTACAATTAATCTCTATATTGTTAGATTGTCTAATCAATATAGATTTGTCACTAAAACTACTTATTAATAAATTAATACTATTTGCTAGCAAACTAGCAATTAATAATTTACATTTCCTGGGAATATACATATAATCCCGGGTCAACTTAAAACCACTAACAAATTTGTTAGTGTCAAAAAATGATAATTTGTCACTATGACAAGAGGTCAAAAAAAATATTAAATTGTTCAGATGATGAATTCTACTATTTTCACTCTCTGACAAAGTGTCAGCATATGGGAATGCACATAACATTATATTCCCTGTGTTTAGTCTTAATAAGGTGTTGATACCATTAGTTATATCCCGCTTGTTTACTCCTGTACTATCACCCATGAAAATCACTATTGGCTGATTTTGTGTGATCTGTTTTTGTGAAATTATTTTAATAATCTGGCCAAATTTTATATTATGATAACAGTAATTAGTTATCCTATAGTTAAGGCAATTGGCAATAAGTGACCCAATACCTGCACCCACTGAGTCCGTAAACACACCAGCGCTGTATGTCACAGCTGGTTTACTCATTGGTTGTTGTAAAACTTCTGGCTCAGAAGGTGGAGTGAGGGCACAGCTACAAGAAAGATTATTTGCAAGAGACTCATACCTCTCAGCACTATAAGTTACTAGATCCACAAGTTTACCTGCCTCAATCATATGTTTGTTTATTTCCAATTGGGCAGATTCATATTTTTGGAACATATCATTTAAGAACATTTCTCTTTGTAAAAGTTCTTGTTTAAGCGATTGAACATCTATGTCATATACTGCCCGATGTTGTTTCAAATCACTTTTACATGATTCAAGTTC